GGTCGGGCAAGCGCCGGTGCTGCGGGGAAAGCGGCCCCGCCGGGAACCGCCGCCGCGTCGGGCCGGGCCGGGCCTTGCTGCTGGCGGAGCCCGGGCCCTCCGGGGGCCAGGCCGGGCCGAGGCCTCGGGGCTGGGCCTGCAGCAAAGGCCGTTAAAGAGAACATCGAGCCCCTTCCAGCCCGAGGCTGATGGGGACCAACAGCCCGGACCCCGTGTCCTTCCCTCCATGCCACATCCACTCAGGGTGACCCCAGGCACCGAAAACTCACTCTAAATTTAAGCCATTTTGCATAAATTTAAAAGATGCATGCTAGCCCCCAGGTTGCTAAGTACCGCCGCGTAAGCAGGCCATTTGTTATTTTTGTTAGCCCGCATGGCTAGACAGCAAGGCCAGGGTTTCTATCCCAGCCAGCGTGATCAAAGACGCTCATTTATCCGCCATCCCAGAGCAACGTCTCTCAGGTGGCTGGGGCCAGGACACGCTGGGAGCATTCGGCCTGCTGCGAAATGGCTGCTCGCTGGAGCTGGAGAGGCTTAGTGCTCAGTCCACACTGCCACAAGGAGACACTCAGGCTCCCCATCTTCATATATCTATATATATACCTATTTTATCTGCCAGCCCACGTGTGAGCCCTTTCCTGCAGGCCTGCTCCTGGCCACGGCCTCCCTGGCTTCAAGGGCTGCTCACCTGCACCCAGGCTGTGCCATCAAAAGGGAGTAATCCATCCTGTATATATTAATTCTGTGTAAACCTACTTATATTAATTTTGTGTAAACTTACAGCTGATCTAAAAGGGCACCGTCACACACAGCCCTGCCCTTCCCCTGGCTGCTTTTTTTCCCCCGTGGCAGAACAACATCAAGGGAAATAAACGCTTGTTTCGATGCAGATCACTCAGAGTAGTCAAAGCAACATGCAAATATGTCTTTATTACGATGTCCTTGTTAATACACATACATAAGATGACTCAGTTTTCAGTATTGTGTAGCATGGCTGAAAGATGTATCTGGAAATACATCTCCTCTACCTTTTATTAAAGCTGTTTTTCAACACAACTGCCAATACAAATGTCCTGAAGTTGGTCTAGTTGATTAAATATTATGATTGAATATGTGAAGGGTTTCAATTAATCATACATTTGGAAAAACAAAATCTTTGCACTCCAAACAGATATTTTAAATTTTGCATTGTTAAGAGAATCCTGTGAGAATATGAACTATTCTAGTCCCAGGTGGCGGTATCTTTATACAGCAGAAGGATTCATTCCCTTATTATGAAATACTGCAGCGGGTGGGCTTGCCTCCTATTTTTCCTCTTGGGTTCAGGGAGGAGAGAGTGTTTTTTTCCAGTAGGATTCAGTCCTGCGTTTGTTTTTGGAAAACCTCAGTCTGGAGTTAGATCTTGGTGCGAGCAAAGCAGGTCCTGCTCCAAGGCCAGGTCCAAAAGCAGAGGAGGGCGACGGATGGTGGTGGGAAGCAGCTGGTTTTCGAGGTGACATATTGCCACCTAGCAGCTCTCAGCGAAAGCAGCACAAACCCCACCTTCTGCTCCAGAAACAACGGTTCTCCTCGCTTCTGCTTTTATTGCCTTGTATCATTCGCGGCATAATGATTGGCATAGCGTTTCCAAAATCCGTAACAAATCCATCACTCTCCAAACCAGGTTTGGAGTTCAGAAAGACAGCATTAGTTTATTTACAGCGCTAGGGGGACAGGCTTTCTCCTCCCCTTGTGCACACCCATCACAGCTCTCCCGGTGATTTTTATACACATTTTACAACATCATTATAATATTAGTGCCTCCTACCTATATTTGATTAGATAGTAATTTACACACGATCATCAAGTTACAGCTCCCACATGTGCTCAAGGAAATGGTCTTCACCTGGGCATGGGGTCTTCTGGACCTATGGGTGTGATTTTCAGTATTTTAAGGAAGGTAGTTCAGCTTAGGGCACTGAGGATTTTCATTTTCCTGCCAAGTGGGCTAAACTTCTCAAAACACATAGGTTAGTACCATCCTCACAGTCTTCATGCTTGATGTGCTTCCTTGAGAGGCAACACAACACTGGCCTCCCTTGATGAGGAGTTCTTCTCATTAGTTTGTGCTTGATAAATTCACAGATAGAATTATTATTTGTGAAAATCCATGTGAGGCCTTTCAATGCGAGTTACCAATAACATTTCAAGGATATGTTTGGTAGCAGTAGGGTACATGGAGAGTGCAGAGTGAGGACTGCAGGAAAACGAACAGGCAAATGGAATCCTCTGTGAAAACAGACACTAAAGACCCCTAATGTCCAGCAGGGTGGTGACACTAGTCCCTGCCTGTTTGACTGTATATTAATAATAAGAAAAAGAAAAAGGAAAAAATAACAAAAATATGTACAATCCTGCAAAGTTTCTCATTCTTATTCGTGCAAATAATGCCACTGATTTCAGTAGCACTTTCCCCTGGCATTGCTAAAGCAGCACTGCCCCAGGAGAGCCAGGTCACCCCTGAATTGTTTAGTATCTTCCCATTCCCTGTCGCTGACCCAGA